GCTGCCATGGGGGAAGCTGGCTTGCAGTCCAGGCTTTGGCCCGGCCTGGCTCCAGCTGTTTTTGGTCATTTGAGAAGTGAATTAGCAGATGGCCATGTTCTCTGTCACATGTTCTTTCTCTATTAAAGTCTGTCAAAGTAATTCTTTCTCCTCCCCAAATCATAAAGACATTCTTAAATATTTTCTCCAAAAAGTTTTAAAATTTGATTTTCAAAAATCAATAATGAATCTACTTGGGTTCATTTTCTCATCTGGTGTGACTGCAGATCTGATCTAACCCTTATCCGCCAGCAGATTGGCCATTGTATTCTCATTTCTGTCCCTTTCCATCTTCTCATATACAGGTTCTGGCTATTTCTTCTGTTGTCTCCCACGTGAGAGACTACCATGTCTCTTGTATGTTTCTGCCAGTATGCATCTTCTCATTTCTATTCCATATGTTTGAAGGGCTCCATTTTAACTTTAGCTTTTAAAGTTCTATTCCTTGTTCAAGATCTAGTTCAAGTGGCCTTAAAGATTTTGTATTATATTTATATCTTTTTCCTTCTCTTGAGTTAAATGAAGGAGCTCAATGTCCCTAGAACATTTTATCTCTTTACTATAAATATTAGCTCATCTTGAAGGTACCACAACCACTATTGTGTCTGTCCTCTTTGTCTACCAGGTTATGAGTTCTTACATGTTTTATGGTGGGCAGAATAATGGTCAATAATTCTACCACATTCTAATTCCTGGAATGTACACATATATCACCTTCTATGGCAAAAGGAAATGAGCAGGCATGATTAAATCAAGGAGTCTGAGATGAGATTATCTTTGTTTATTCAAGCAAGCCAGTCTAACTTAATGAATTGTTAGATTTGGAGAGAATCTTCAGCAGTTGAATTCAGCATCAGTGGGATGTGTGGTTGAAGAAGCACTGTCAGACAAATGCAACATTACTTGTAACAATCTTTTTAAAAAGAACAACCATAAACATTTATAAAATAAACAAATTTATATCTTGTGGTTGGGAAAGTCCAAAGTCAAGATGCCAGCATCAGGTACATCAGATGGCAAATGAACATGTGGACAAGACAGAAAGAGAGATGGAAGAGGAGAGAGAGAGAGCGAGAGAGAGAGAGAGAGAGAGTCTGGGAGAGAGAGAATGAGCATCAGAAAGCCAAGGAAGTCAAACCTGCTTTTATATCAACCCATGCTCTCAATAACTAGCTCAATATCATGATAATGGCCTCAATGCTCAGGAAGGTAAAGCACTCATGATCTAAGTGCTTTTTGTCATCACCTCCCAATATCATCACACTGAAAAATTTTAACATGTTTTGGAGGATACATGTAAACACTATCAGCTACTGAATTTTCTGGAGTCTTAGTTTTCTGATAAGGAAACACTCCAGATATGTCCATGATAGAGATAGTAATCCTTTCTTGAATTGTCTGTATTCATAGTAGGGGTTCAATGTCAGATATCTCTATCCCATCTCAAGTCCATCATTCCCAGCAGACTAGTCCAGGTTTTAATTTCTTTGAAGAGTTTCTGGCAAGTGGGTGTATTCCTTGAAGGCAAGTGAGTTATCTCTACAAAGCTGCAGTGCCTAAAATGTAATTGGTATTTTCTGTGGGTTGAATGAGGATATGAATGGGAGTGAATAGTACAAACTCACCTAGGAATGTTGAGAGAATGAGAGTGTGGTGGGGAAGGGAAAGGCATTATATTCAGGATATTAGGGATGCTTAGGATATTAGGATATTTGAGACCTAGTGGGACTACGGGATTTCCCAATCATCTTTTCAGTTGTTACATGTGTTTCAGTAAGCTAAATGCATGTGGATATAGTTTTATTGACATTTCTATTGTACACATAAGTATCATCTGTTTTCTATGTATTGTACAAGAATCATAGCAAGGTCAGGCAGACCAGAGTTGATCAATAATATGTTGAAATATCAGGGCTTGATCCTGGGAGTTTAGGTAGCTGTTCAAACCTTCATGATTTTTCCTTTCCTTCTTTTCAGAGGTTGTCTTATATGATTAATTTTTAATCACCAAATAATTACATGTATGTATGGGGTAGAGTGTACATGTTGATACACATTTATGTTGTAGAAATCAGAATGTTTCATATATCCATCACCTCATACATATATGTCATTCATTTGTAAGGAGAATGTTCAAAATCTCCTATAGCTATTTTATGCATTGTCACCTGACAGTGCTATGGAGCAATGGAACTTCTTCTTCCTGTCTAATCCACAGACCACTCTTCCTCTTTCTGCCCCTTTGCGACTTCCTCCACCATTCCTGTAACCACTGATCTACTCTTTACTTCCATGAGATCCGCTTCTTGGACTCCCAAGTGTAAGGGAGATACTTGTTTTTCTATGCCTGGTTTATTTTACTTAACATAATGCCCTTCAAGTTCTTCCATGCTAATATGAATTACAGGATTTTGTTTTTGTTACAAATGAGTAGTGTTTCATTGGGTGTCTTTGTCACATTGTTTTGATCATTCTTTCATTGATAGACACTTAGGTTAATTCTCTGTCTTAGAATTTTTATCATAGTTATGCAATAAATGTGGAATAGAAGTATAACTTCCTCATTCCTGATTTCATTTCCTTTGGAGACATACCCAGTAATGGTACTATCAAATTATAGAGGAGTTTTATTTATATTGACTCATGTTTTTCTGTCAACATATGTAACTTAATTTTTCTCCACATTCATGCCAGAGCTTGTTGTTACTTGTGTCCTTAATAATAGTATTTCTAATTGCATAATGTGATTTTTAAAAAATTAATAGCCAGGCCCGGTGTGGCCTAGCAGCTAAAGTCCTCGCCTTGAACACACCGGGACCCCTTTTGGGCACTGGTTCTAATCCTGGCAGCTCCACTTCCCATCCAGCTCCCTGCTTGTGGCCTGGGAAAGCAGTCAAAGACGGCCCAATGCTTTGGGACCCTGCACCGTGTGGATACCCGGAAGAAGTGGATATCCGTGTGGGATACCCAGAAGAAGTTCCTAGATCCTGACTTCAGATTGGCATAGCATTGGCTGTTGTGCTCACTTGGGGAGTGAATCATCGGACGGAAGATCTTCCTCTCTGTCTCTCCTCCTCTCTGTACATCTGATTTTGTAATAAATAAGTAAATCTTTTAAAAAAATCTGCCTTTCCAATATAAACAAACAAACAAATAAATAAATAAAGGCATCTTTAAAAAAATAAAAAATTAATAGCCTAGAAGTGTAAACAACAAAAGCAAAAATAGATACATTAGTCTATGCTAGACTGAAATACTTCTGCATAGCAAAGAAAGCAATGAATAGAATGAAGACACAACTGACAGAATGTAGGAACATCATTATAAATTATGAATTTGAAAATTAATTATTTAAAATCCAAAAGTATATAAAGAATTACATAGCAAAACCCTATATTATTTTAAAATGGGCAAAAAATCTTCTAAGATACACAAATGATGAAAAAATGTCCAGCATCACTAACTACTACAGAAATTTTTTTTATTCAAATGGGATTTCTGGGGTCCGGCGCGGTGGCGCAAGTGGTTAAAGGTCCTCGCCTTGCACGCCCGGGATCCCATATGGGCGCCGGTTCTAATCCCGGCAGCCCCGCTTCCCTTCCAGCTCCCTGCCTGTGGCCTGGGAAAGCAGTTGAGGACGGCCCAAAGCTTTGGGAACCTGCACCCGTGTGGGAGACCCGGAAGAGGCTCCTGGCTTCGGATCGGCATAGGATCGGCCCGTTGCGCTCACTTGGGGAGTGAATCATCGGATGGAAGATCTTCCTCTCTGTCTCTCCTCTCTGTATATCCGCCTTTCCAATGAAAAAATAATAAAAATAAATCTTTAAAAAAAAATGGGATTTCTGAATCCTGGCCATATTATCTGGGAAGAGATACTTGTATGCTCTATGTATTTATTTATTTGAAAAATATTTATTTGAAGGACAGAGTAACAGAGAGAGGGACAAGAAGAGAGAGATGTTCCGTCTATTAGTTCATTCTCCAAATTGCCACAACAGTTAGGATTGGGCCAGACTAAGGCCAGGATCCAGGAACCCCATCTGGATCTCCTCTGTGCAGGAACCTAAGTACTTGGATCATCTGCTGCTTCCCAGGTGCACTGGCAGGAGGTGGAGCAAATGGGACACTAACCGGCACGCTGACACAGATGTTGGCATCCCAAGAAGCGGCTTAACCCACTGTACTTCGTTACTTTTATCATTGAGATAACAGGCAGCCGAGAGTGAATGAAAAGCCTTGCTTACAGTCCAAAACTTTCCCTTCTGCCTCTTTGCTTCCGCTCTGGCCACTGTTGAGGTCTGCCTTTTCTGTGTGCCCTGGAGTATGCCTCTGTTACACGACTTCAGAATGACTTATTTCAACACGTCTCCTTGTCAGCAGGCATCTCTCCGCATCTTAGGCATGTTAGTTTTCTTAACAACAGTCAACAGAACTTTTAACTAGTGTTTCAGGAAGGGACATATTTCAGTATTTCTTTTTCTTTTTGAAATTTCCTTTATCTTCTGTGTACCTCCTATAACAAACAACATTATATTTATTCTCTGATGGGTACTTGAGGCCGCTGATGTGCTGCAATTCTGTTCTTTCATTTTTCTTCTTATAACTTTGGGGTTTAGCCATGTCTCATACTTGACACCTGTGACAATCTCTTGCTTGAGGCACTGCAGGGTAGGAACCGGTTTATCTTCTTAGACTTTATAGCACACGATCTATTATATTACCGCTGTTATCATTCCCTTTGTCTTTTGTCCATCTTAATGGCCTGAAAGAAAGGTCATGTGTTTCATATGTATTGGTTCTCAGAGCAAGTGCCACGTGACTGAAGCTAGTGAACTGGCAAGTGGGATGACAAGGTGAGTGTCACCTGGAACTGTTTTGTGGCGTAAGGGTTGCACAGGGTAGCAGAATGCCTAAAAGGGCGTGTTCCCTGGCTTTAAATGCATTGTGACATAGTGTGAAGGTTTGTCTTCTCTATTGCATGTGCCAAAGAGAAGCACATTGGTTAGTCTCAGAGGAGGAGGGGGAGCTAACATAGAATTTAGGGCCAGTTTCGCATCTGCTTTTCCTTCTGGAGTCTGAAACTGTTATAAATTCGTGAGAGAAGAGACTTGAATTGGACTTTACATTGAGGTAAGGATCAATTAAGATTACTCTTTACAAAGAGTTGAAATTTGGGAAATAAAGTGTATTGACAGAGTAAGAAACAATTTCAAAGCTGCCTGTACTTGCATATATTTTGCTTTGAGTGTTAAGTCAGGTAACAAACTGAAGCTCAAGAAATAGTTCGCTTTTATACTGGAATTAACAAATGTGTTTTAAAAGACAAGTCACTGAGACTTAGAAGTACTTTTTTTATGGTGACTAGAGAGGAAGTATTAATCAAATTTTTCTCAAAATGGTTTTCATTTTAAAGTTCAGTTGGCTGCTTGGTTGAGATTCCACCAAGAACATTGTTGAGTCCCTTCTGAAGCTATTTTGAGTTCTCTCATCTTTCCTCTCTGATTTGTGTGGCTGTAACTCCTGGATTAAGTTATACCCAGTAGTGTCTTTAAGTGCTAGAGTTTAAAAGCATTTCTCTGTGGGATGGTGAGTAAATGTGTGTAGATGGTAGCCAGTGGCAAGTAAGAGGGTACCCTAAGGAGGGTATGTTTCTTGCTTTCAGCTTAGAGCATGCTGGTTATGCCATTAGGAGTGAAGGGTTTCTTTGGATGGAAGAAGAGTAAAGACTTTTAGGATGAACCACTGCTGGAAGGCAGTGATTGAACCTTGTAGCTTGGGTGAAGCTGTCATCAGAAGACTGCCAGTGGTAGATCAGGCAGGCAGGGTCCAGAGGAAGGGCCTGCTGATTTCCTGCCTCAGCCTTTTACCTGGAGGTTCTGCTAGATACTAGCCAAGTAAATTCTGCCCTATGGGTGAGAAAAGCTTGTGTTCTATCATTGGAGGATGTGTCTGCTCTTTGGGTTTAAAAGTCATCAAACTCTGTGGTATTGTACTTGGTTCACCTTCAGACAATAGTAGAGTAGGGAACTAGAGATGGATTGCTGGATAATGTATTTTTTTATAAGATGTATTTATTTTTATTGGAAAGGCAGATTCACGGAGAGGAGAGACAGAAAGATCTTCCATACGCTGGATCACTTCGCAAGTGGCTGCAATGGCCAGAGCTGAGCCGATCCAAAGCCAGAAGCCAGGAGCCTCCTTTGAGTCTCCTACGTGATTGCACGGTGCCAAAGCTTTGGACCAACCTCACTACTTTCTTAGGTCAAAATCAGGGAGCTGGATGTGAAGTGGAGCAGCCAAGACACAGAACTGGCACCTGTATGGGATTTTTCTGCCTGCCAAGTGAGGATTTAGTCATTGAGACATTGAATTGGGCCAGTGGATATTGCTTTTGAAAACATAAGAGTGAAGTGCAATCTAAAGATGTAGGCAATTGTCTTCACAATGAAAGTGAAGTAAAAATTCTGAATGCTATTTTCGCTTTCCCTGCTTTGAATTTATTTTGTGTGGATTTTTAAAATACAGATAAATTGGAGCTCTTAGATTGTTTCAGATTAAAAGGTAAATGTAGGGCCCCAGTGCGGCAGCTTAGTGGCTGAAGTTCTTGCCTTGAACACACCAGGATGCTATATGGGTGCCACTTTGTGTCCTGGTGGCCTCACTTCCCATCCAGCTCCCTGCTTGAGGCCTGGAAAAGCAGTCAAGGACGGCCCAAAGCCTTGGGACTCTGCACCAAGATGGGAAGAAGCTCCTGGCTCCTGGCTTCAGATTAGCTCAGCTCTGGTCATTGTGGCCACTTGGGGAGCGAATCAGCCAGCGGACGATCTTCCTCTCTGTTTCTCCTCTTCTCTGTATATCTGACTATCCAATAAAATAAGTAAATATTAAAAAAAAAAAAAGCAAAGGCATAGAAGTACTAGTACTAAGGCAGGAAAGGCTAATTCCTGCCTCCTCTTTGTTGTTACCCTGCTATCTTACATCAAAAGCCTTCACTGCTCCCCATTGCTTTATGGTTACATGCCGATGGAGTGTGGAGATCCACTTGTTCTTTCATCCTTTGGGATTGCACATAATAAAAGCTCACATAGTTCAGGACTAATTTTTTTAAAAAGATTTATTTATTTATTGGAAAGTCAGACATACAGAGAGGAAGAGAGACAGAGAGGAAGATCTTCCATCCGATGATTCAATCCCCAAGTGAGCGCAATGGCCAGTGCTATGCCAATCCGAAGCCAGGATCCAGGAACTTCTTCCGGGTCTCCCACACAAATGCAGGGTCCCAAAGCTTTGGATTGTCCTCATCTGCTTTCCCAGGCCATAAGCCGGGAGCTGGATGGGAAGCGGAGCTGCCGGGATTAGAACCAGCGCCCATATGGGATCCTGGCGCATTCAAGATGAGGACTTTAGCCACTAGGCCACGCTGCTGGGCCCAAGACTAATTTTTTAAAGCACTGACCTAAAATAGAGTACATCTCTTTATTAGCCTGAAGTACTCCAACATGTGACAGTGGTGTGAACCGAACACTTAATTTGATTTGATTTGGTATCCATCTGGCTAAATGAAACTAAGTAATTTAACCAATAAGCCTCAAATTTTAAATGTTTTGGCACTTGAGAGGGATTTTTTAAAAATAAAATCTGAAGCAGGCTGGTCGTCCTTTATGTTGAAAATGTGCCATGCTCACATTGCCAAAGCCAGGGCACAGAGAGATAAAGGAGTCACGTACGCTCTTGACTGACTCAGCCTGAGAGTGACATGTGCCAATTCTGCACTGAGTTCAGCTGCCAGAACTTAAAAAAAAAGTTCCAACTGGAGGGTAGGCTAGGGAAAATGCGGGGGAGGGGCACTCTTAGTCTCATCCACAGACACAATGGTTGATACTTTGAAATGATCCAAAGAAGTTAGTAGGCAGTTTCTCATCATTCAAGTTTTAAACATAAAGGTAAAGTTTTCCAATTATTTTTTTTTCAAGTACACTGAAAGAGCAATTGTGTGGCGAAGTACTTACTGGCATTAAAAGTACCTTTTTTGAACTCTGTGTTAAAAACAGTGAAATTTTGCTTCACAGTTGTGAGATTTGGGTAAGTCATTTAACTTCTCTAAACTTAAACTTGTATCCTACCTGAAAGGGCTGTGTCCCAAAATGAGGTTAGGGAATACATGCAAACACTTTGACTCAGTGGTGCAGAGGCTGCATCCCGCAGCCATGGGATCTGGGTTTGATTCCTGCACTGAACCTGGAAGCTGAATGTGAGCCCAGCTTCCTCACAATGCAGACCTTGGTAGGCACTGGTGATGATGCAAGCAATTGTTCCTCTTGGTATATACTAAATGTTCAATATTTGTGGCTTTTGGTTTTCCTTAGATCATTATTGATGATATTGTTCTGGGATCAATGATTGTCAGCAGTCCTGTAGGGGTCCTCTCTGAGCCAGGAATGGATCTGTAATGATCTGAAGACCATGGGCTTTGTGAGAAAATGAATGATGTTTTGGGCAATTGTAAAAATGAAATATCCTCATCTTTTGCCTTTTTTTTTTTTTTTCAGATCATGGGGAGTTTCAAAGGTCATGCCCTCCCTGGAACCTTCTTCATCATCATGGCTCTTTGGTGGAGCACCAAGGGTATCCTGAAGTATATCTTCAGAAAGCAAAAGCGGACCTGCTACCTGGGTTCCAAAGCCTTATTCCGTCGAGCAGAAATTTTGGAGGGAACTGTGTTAGTCTGCATGGCCTTAACTGGTGAGTGGCTGTTCCTGTGTTCTTCTTTCAGATACTTTCACGTGCTGATAAACAGATATAAAATCAAGACGCAAATCAAACAGCACAACAGTCCGAAAGGTTTACAAGGCAAGATAAATAGGGAATTTGTTAATATTAGAAAAAAAAACTCAGAAAAAACAAATCAAGTACTTGCCATGATGAATTTTTCATTAAAAATATCTTGCCACATGTTCAAATTTCTCCCTCATATATTTTGTTAGGAAGATAATACTTTATGTTCATAAAAAACCTATTCCTTTATGAATTATTGGATGTAGTTACCTTGCCTGCCAAGCCAAGGTAGATTTTCCCTATAGAGTTAATTGGTATCTTTGAAATAATTTTATATCAAGTGTCCTCATCCATAGAAGAACAAAATCTACCAGGAATAATTTTGTAAATGACACCAAAACAATCAAGTGATTATGGACAAACTTCAGTAAGTACTCACTGCTGACGTGTGATGCGTGAAACGTCAGTGCTGAGAAGACCCTGCCTCGTGTACTCATTACTTTCCTTGGTTCCTAACCTGGAGGAAGAGGTTAGGCCAGGTGACCTCTGGCCTTGCCTTTTACTTTGTACCTGATGAAAATCTCCATGTTTTTAGCATTCCTGCCTCTCCTTTTTTTTTAAATTTAAGATTTATTCTTATTGGAAAGGCAGGTATGCAGAGAGAAGGAGATACGGAGATATAGAGAGAAAGGCCTTCCGTCCTCTGGTTCACTTCCCAAGTGGCCTCAATAGCCAGAGCTGAGCTGATAGGAAGCCAGAAACCAGGAGCCTCACAAGTTGGTGCAGGGTCCCAAGGCTTTGAGCCATCCTCTACTGCTTTCCCAGGCTATAAGCAGGGAGCTGGATGGGAAGCAGAGCAGCCAGGACATGAACTGGCATCCAAATGAGATCCTGGTGCATGCAAGGTGAGGATTTAGCCAAGAGGCTATTGTGCTGGGCTGTATCTCTTTTTCTACAAGATTTTTTCATTCTTTATTCATGGCAATAGATCTCTGCCATGACCCTCAGGTTGCCAAATGACAATTCTGGTTTCTCATTTCACAATAGGATAACCAAAGATAACACTAATACACTGCACTGAAACATCATATTGCTTATAAATATGTATAATTAAAAAATACATATATATATATAGTTTTTGTGTTACTTAAAATTTTTCTCCTTCTCTCGGTAAATCTCTCTTTCAACTAAAAATAAATAAATCTTAAATTGACTATTTCCAACAAGATTTTCCCCTGCCAAATTCTGTAGATTAGCAAGTAAGGCAGTATTTCTAAGAATGTTTACCAGTGTGCACAACTAACTGAACGATATACTCTATGCATCTGGTTATCTTGGTTGTCCTTAACCAGTGGAAAACTGAAGCCTTCGGCACTGTTCCTCAGGACCACACAAAACCACCTGCTGCTTTGTGGCAGCTCCCTAATTGTGTGCAGAGAAGGAAATGTGCAGGTGAACCAGTGGATGGAAGGCCTTTCTCTCTGTATCTCTGAGGGGCTGATTTCACAAATCCAAACTTCCACATCATGTAAGATTTATGTGAGTCATTAGAGTGGAATAGCCAGTGGAACTAACGGTCTGTATTGAAGATCTGAGACTGCTATTTGACTGGTTGCATATGTTTAACTAAAATTTCTTATTCCTATCAGTATCTGCATCTCCAAACAAGCCTTAAATGCCAGGGCTCAGTTACCAGGGAATAGTCCAGAGACACTGTAGAGTGGAATAAACAGTGTGCTAACTCTCCTGAACTTTCCTTTGTTTAACATAAAGTTGTGGGAGGATTACTAACACTGTGGGATGCTCTTATACAGGCATGACCGGGGAGCAGTTCATTCCTGGAGGACCCTACCTGACCTTATATAAAGAAGGCCAATGGAACCAACTCATGGGCTGGCATCATTTTACCATGTATTTCTTCTTTGGATTGCTGGGTGTATCCAATATCTTATGTTTCACCATCAGTTCAGTTCCTGTCTCCTTACCCAGGCTAATGCTATCAAATGCATTATTTGTGGAGGGTAAGTATTAGTATTTTTCTGTACCTTTCTCTGTTAGTGGATTTTGCCTAGCCCTTTATATCCCTCAGTCTTGGTACACTGTTGGTTGATATCTGGGTCATGGGAAGATGCTTAGATGCCTGGAGCAGAATACCAAAGATCTTCCTTCCTTATTGACTCATTGTGTCAAATTGGGCAAGCACACTCATTGTGCTTTGTTCACATCTACCATCTGTATTAAATAACCATGGCTGTGGTTACCTGTCTCTTGTTTGTCCTGGAAATTATCTTAATTTGGACTTTTAGCAAGTGAAACAACTCAGTGAAGCAAAAATCTACTATTACCTGACTAGTAGGGTCTGAAGAATTCGGTCACATGAAGATGTCAGGTCCTAATTTTGGAATGTTACTGCAAAGGATGGAACTAAAAAGTGCTGAATGATGAGAAGAGTCATTTTCAAGCTGTTTCCCTTACTTGGTACATTTGAAGAAAATTGCTTCATCCTCTATGAGAACAGGGCTGAATAAGAGATTGATGTCAACAATGAATAGCAGTTTCTTATTCTCCTACAGTGTTGTATCTCAGGGTGAACATCTTTTTTTTTTTTCTTTTTTAAGTGGAAAGGATTAAGACTAGGGTGGGATCCTGGCACAGTAGCCTAGCGGTTAAAGTCCTTGCTTTGCACACTCCAGGAGCCTTTATGGGTGTCAATTCTAATCCCTATGGCCCTTCTTCCCATCCAGCTTCCTGCCTGTGGCCTGGGAGGGCAGTGGAGGACAGCCCAAAGCCTTGGGACCCTGCATTTGCATGGGAGACCAGGAGAGTCTCTGGGCTCCTGGCTTTGGATTGGTTCAGCTCCAGCCATTGTGGCCACTTGGGGAGTGAATCACCGGGTGGAAGATCTTTCTTTCTCTCTTTCCTCCTCTCTGTATATCTGCCTTTCAAAAAAAAAAAAAAAAAAAAAGATTAGGGTGGAATTTGTCTACTCTCAGTTAGGTGCACTTACTGGGAGCTTTCTGAACCTCCTGTCATACTCAACAAAATCAAACTTACGGGTTCCGTCTGCCTTTGCTTCCTCCTGACTTCCTTAAGACAAGGCTTGGCTCATTCATCTGTATACTTAAAGCAGTCTTTCATGACATCACCCTCAGCCCTGTCATGCTTGCTGTTCACCATTCTGCACAGAAATGTCTTTGTAGTTTGTCAGACATGCCATCATGTGACAGATTAAAAGTTGGGGTGGGGAAGGGGGGTTACATTTCAAGGTCATGTTCTGATGGCAGGGTTGTGTTTCTGCAGTGGACATGTGCTCTTTTTGGACAACTGTAGGCATTCAGTGACCTGGATAGAGGCTGAGAGAGCAACAGCTGGTGGTTCCTCGGTTTCATTGAAAAAGACACGCTTTGTTCTCCCCTCCATCAGCTTTTATCTTCTACAACCACACTCACGGTCGGCAAATGCTGGACATCTTTGTGCATCAGCTGCTGTTCCTGGTGGTCTTTTTAACGGGCATCGTTGCCTTCATAGAGTTCCTGACACGGAACATTGTGCTTCTGGAGCTTCTGCGGTCTAGCCTCATTCTACTACAGGGGACCTGGTTCTGGCAAGTAAGTTGGAGTCACAAGGTATTGTATTTGTGTCTCTGCCTGTAGAGTCTCTGTGTTGGAGGGAGCATATTGCTTTAGAATCTAGTTCTCCAGCGAGAACACAGGCTGTTGGGAGGTACTGCTTCTTTGGGTGGCCTGGAAGTTCCCATGGGAGAGCTGCTGCGGAGGAGTGTGATATGCGCCACCTTATTACCCATGGGCATAGCTACAGTGAGGAACCTTGGAACCTATGCTTTTGTGTCAAAGTAGTTCCTGATGATAAGGCAGCTTACAGCGTACTAGTTTGTAAGCCAGAGAAATCCTTGGCGGATAAGAAAATTAGGAAAGTATCATTTATTGAGAAACAGCTATATGTCAGCTCCAGTACCAGGCTTTCACAAGTATATTGTTTCATTTTGTCCTTGCAACAACCCATCAGTTAAGCATGATTGTTTCTAGTCTAAGAATAGGAAGCCATGGGGATACCATTCCAGGCTCAAACAATATAAGAGTTAGGCTCTAACTCTGCGTTTATCTGACCCCAAAACCTAAGTTCTTTACCATTTTATGCTGTCAGCTGTAAACCTTATGCTTTTGAAAGTGTGAATTTTGATCAGTGAACATTCATTTTATAGAGACTGATAAATCGTAAGCCACTATAAATATATAGATATAGAGAAAGTTCAAGATGAAAGGTGAATGTGATTTAATTAAGAATAACCTCTTTGTTTTTAAGATTTATTTTATTTATGTAAAAGCTATAATAACACACACACAGAGAAAGAGAGAAACTCTTCCATCTGCTAGTTTGTCAACAATGTCCAGGACTGGGACAGGCCAAAACCAGGAGCCTGCAACTCCTTTTGAGTCTCCTGTGTGGATACAGAGGCCCCAGTACTTGGGCCATTTTCTGCAGCTTCTGTGGGATTAGCAGGGGGCTAGAGTGGAAACAAAGCAGCTGGCATTCACTTGGGATTGCCAAGTCCTGCTTATGTCTCAGCATGTTTACCAACGCCAGCCACAAAGATGACTTTTTCGAGGAGATATTTTTTTAGTCATCAGAGAGCAGAGATTTGGAATGAAGAGACTGTTCCAGGGATTTGTATTTCAGATGAGGAATGAGAAGAAAACACTAATGCATGAGGAAAAGAGAAACATGATGGCCAAATGACAGCATTAATGAAATATTTAAAACATATTGAGGAGGAGCCAGTCTTGTGGCACAGGGAGTAAAACTGCTACCTATAATGGTGTCTGTTTGTGTCCTAGTTTTTTGGATATATGCCCCGAAGTGAAGTAGCTGGATCATAAGGTTTTTAGTTTTTTTGAGTAATCCCCATAATGTTTTCCATGGTTTCTCTGTTAATTTCCATTCTCATTATACTATATCAGGGTTCTCTTTTCTTCATATTCTTAGCAGGGCATTTTTTATTTTTAAAACCTTTTGGATAATGGCCGTTCTTACTTGAGTGACATCATACCTCATCCTAGTTTTTATTTGCATTTTTTGGATTTTTTTTTAAAAGGCAAAAGAGGCAAAGGCAGACAGAGACTTTTTTTTAAATCTATTTCTATTGTTCACTTTTCAAACAAAAGCCAGGATTGGACCAGGCTGAAGCCAGGAACTGGAAACTCAACCTGTGTCTCACACATGGGTTACAGGGCTTGGGTATCTGAGAGATTGCTACATCCCAGGCACATGAGCAAGATGCTAGATCAGAAGCACAGGGGTCAGGACTAGAACTGGCACTCCAAGAAGAGACGCAGCAAACTTCCCATGGGATGTCTTCATTACAGTCTCTTCATTCCAAATCTCTGATGACTAAAATAATCTCCTCAAAAGAGTCATCTTTGAGGCTGGTGTTGGTAAAGATGCTGGGACATAAGAGGATTTGGGGCAATCCCACGTGAGTGCCAGGTGCTCTGTTTCCACTCTAGCTCTCTGCTAGCCTTCCCAGGGTCAAGTTTGTCTCTGTGCAGGCAGTACTTCCTGACCTCATCTGCTTGCTGTTCCCATGACTTATGCCTCTTGAAAAAAAAATAAATTAAATAAATTTAAAAAAAAACAGAGAACAAAAACTCTTAGTTTTTCAATAGATTTTTAAATATTTATTTGAGAGAGAAAAACATTAGAGACTTCCCATCCACTGGTTCACTCCTCAAAAGCTGGGTTGTACCAGTCCAAAACCAGGAGTCAGGAACTTGGGCTGGGTCCTCTACATGGTGCCAGCATCCCAACTACTTGAACCAGAACCTGCTGCCTCCCACAGTGTACATTAAGAGACAGTGAAAGTGGGAGCAGAGTCCTTACTTGTTCCCTAGTATTGTGATAGAAGTTGTGAGTCCCCAAGTGGCACCTTACCCACTGCTCCTCCAAACACCAGCCCCTGCTTTTCTTTTTATGAATTATTTAGAAATGTATTTTTAATGCCCCCCAAGTATTCTTTTTATTACTTATTTTTAATTTTTTTGTGGTCAGAGAATTTGTTCTCTTTGAAATAGTGAAGACTTTCTTGGGGACATGGTCTAGTATCAGTGTCTGTGAATATTCTGTGTATTGGAAAAGGCACTATATCCTTTCTTTGTTGAGTTCAGGATTTTACATGTATTGACTATATCAAATGTGTTAAAGAGCTTATTCAAATACAGTCAGACATGATCAACAAGGGAAACTCAAGGAGAGTGTAAAGATTGAATTACAAAGAGCAGAATTAATTAAATTGAAAATGTTCACCTAATATTTAATGTGTAGGTTCTGACAGAGAAGGCTGAAGCTCCAGCTCAAGTGGAAATAGATTAGCTCAGTGATGTTTCCTTTTACACAGAAATAATGTTTTTGCATTCCCCCAAAAGCTTTTCAAAGGAAGAGCTGTTTGGTTAAAATCTTGGGGCATAAATCCATGATTACATAGAAATTTTCAGCTACCAGTAAGTCTAGACTAGTTTCCGCTTTCACCTGGTGACCAGTCTAAAAAATGTCTGGAGTCTTAAAGAAAAATGAACATTTAATACCATCCCAAATACACACTGGGAGGAAATGAAGGGTTAGCCATAGTAACTCATCTCATTCTTGGATTCCTTTGAAATGAAAGTGTCTAAAACTTAAAAGAGTTTATTATGCTGCCATGATTTTTTTTTGATAGACATAGTATATGAAATATTGACGGCCAAGACTGTCTTAAGCTAACAATATTATGTTGGCATTTTGGGCTTTTTTTTTTTTACTACTCCTGCCAATTCTTCATATATGGTTCCTACCAGTATATAAACTATGGCTAAATTAAGCACATATCTGAACTCTTAGAACCTATATTTATGGACTTAACAAAGCAAATGATTAAACTGGCTAATAATAATTCATATGTAAGCTGTTGGATAACATGCAAACAGAGAAGGAATCTCCCTCTCATTCTATAATAATTGGTTTCTTTCTCAGTCCACATTACAATCAATACTGTTCTTCCAATAACCTAGCTGCATAATGCAATTTGCAAAAGGAAACAATCGTTCTTTAGGTCCTTTATAGTGAGTCACAGTTTCTCTGTGTCTTTGTGTGGGTGAAGATTTCAAAAGTGCACCTTGCTCCCAGGCTCCTTCTCATCCTCCTTAGGGCCACGGCCACTCGTTCAGTCAGAGGAAGAGGAAAAAGCCCCTGTTCTCTCTGCTTCTCCTAACTTTTGGACAGTTGCTTCCCCTGCATCTCCTGGCTCTATCAATCCTCTTCCCCACCCTGCCAGGAGATGGCCCCTGACTAGCCAGATTCTGAACAATGTCCTGCCTTAAGAAAAAAGACAAAAGTTCATTTTAGAATGATGGAAAGGTTCAACTGAGCAGTTGTGATCTGAGATGTTATATGGTGGATCAAACACTTGCTTAGAAGTACTGAAGTAAATGCTTAGATAATAAGATACAAAACAATAGAGAATTCACTCTTGGTGTACATGTCCCTGACTTGTTAAAGAAGATAATTTACCTTTGAAATATGATACAAATGAGATTTAAACTTAAAATAGATAAGGAGGGCCCAGGGCAATAGTGTAGTGGTTAAAGTCCTCGCCTTGCATGCCCGGGATCCCATATGGGCCCTGGTTCTAATCCCGGCGGCCTTGCTTCCCATCCAACTCCCTGCTTGTGGCCTGGGAAAGCAGTTGAGAATGGCCCAAAGCTTTGGGACCCTGCACCCAATTTGGAGACCTGGAAGAAGTTCCTGGATCCTGGCTTCAGATTGGCTCAACTCCAGCCATATACGGCCGCTTGGGGAGTAAACCATCAGACGGAAGATCTTCCTCTCTGTCTCTCCTCCTCTCTGTGTATCTGACTTTGCAATTAAAATAAAATACATCTTAAAAAAAACAGATAAGGAGTCGGCAGCAAAGACAGAACAAGAAAATAGAAATTTATTTTTTAGATGCAATGCTTTTCTTGGGATTGTCTGATAGGAACAAATTAAGGCAATGGATGAGCATTCCTGTTTGTCTGGCTCACGTGGCTTTACTCTCCATAAGCGTCCGTCATATCTTCAACTTTTCAGTGTCAGGTTCTGAGGGCTCCAGTGAGTGTTAGCAATGAGACGCATGCAAAGTTTCTATTCTCCTGGTACAAACGGAAAATATGACTGGGGGAATTGATGAAGACACATGGAGGCGACTTGAGAGAGATTTTAATTTGAAACCTACCAAAAGGCAATTGTGCCTGTGGCATGTAATTAAAATTTGGCAGGCCTCCAGGTGGGACTGACCCAGATCTGTAGTCTACCTTTCCCATATTAATCATGTGAAACACCAAAGACAAGACATTCTGGACCTTTGAGCCTCTTCAACTATGAAAGAGAAATAATAGTTCCTGGTGTTGTAGAACTTACAGCTTGAACACTCACATGGCCCTGTGGAGATGGCTGTTAATTCCATGGTGGAAGAGTAGAGAAATCTGCTTGGAGAATGGAAGGCTAGTCAGAAACTGAAGGTCCAAGAGTCACCAGTTCATCTCAGCTGGAGATTTCAGGCAGAAGATACACTTCTGCT